GCTCCGGTAGTTTCACAGATATGCAATTCTGATGTGCGGGTGTGCACTCGATGTAAACGAAGCGCTTTGCTGAATCGGCTGAAAGCTCGAGTCGCGTTGGTTGACCTGCGTTAGGCTGTGTAGATAAACAAGTACGGCCGAATCAGACGAGCGTAGGGTCCAGGAGACATTCGAGTGGAAATTTATCACGACTTCGCAGCGAGAACCTTTTAAAGTGTTTAGAAAAACTTGTCGAGTTCCTTCCCGTCTATTAAAACGACTCGCGGAGAGAAAGCCGAGCGCAGCTCTGTGCCGTGAACCCTTTCGTTTTAAACTCCTTCCACTGTTTTTGTGTGAAAACATTCCATTAGTTTTTCCATTTTAACGTGAGAGAAACTGTTGAACATGTCCCTGTGGTAGATGTTTATCATGCTGTTCTTGTTTTGCTTTCTTTTTTTCAATGTGATGAATAAACTGCTCCGTTTTTTTGGAAACCCAGGACAACAGAATTTCTGTCAGAAGAGTTTAATGTCGAAACGGCTCGGACTGATATTAATCTAAGCTGCCAGCTCAGTCCCAAACATGATCATCGGTCTGTAAAATAACTAACGAGGCAAATTAACGAGCGGTAGTCGGCTCATTAACTTAATTTATCTTTTTTTTTTGGGTGTAATTTTAAACAAACAAAAAAAAAAGGCTGCCACTTCAAAAACGTGATTTTTGTGGCTTTTAACAACATTTAAGACCAATGTTTGTTTCTCAGTGATGTAAATAAAATCCCCCTGACCAGACACCTCATTCTCGTGATGCACTGCCACAGATATGAGCCGTAAGGGGCGGGGCTTTTTAGTTTGGGGGAGGGGCCAAAATTTTCAGCTTAATCAGCTTAAAGGTATTTATTGTGAACTATGAAATCAAGCTGATAAAGATGAACTATAAGAAATGGAGGAGTTTGAAAAGGTTCACTCCGGTAAACTGAAATGTGGGTCCGCACTCGATGTAAACAAAACACTTGATACTTAAATCTGAGCATTAATGCACCAAAAAGACACATCAAAATCGTCAGTTTCATCCCAAAAGCTTTTTTCAGTCACTTCCCTGTAAACGTGGGAAAACATTTAGATTTTTAATCTTTAAGATTTTTTTTTAAATGGATTTCACGGCCTTGCAGTAAGTACCTTTAAGTAAGGCTCTCGATGTGTCGCTGGATGAAGCTGTGTAGTTGTAAATGATTCATAAAGGTGAAGCGACTCGCCTGCAGGTGAAAGTGGTTTGTAGTTTTTAATGAATGTGGGGACGTTGGAAAGTACACCTTGATGCAAGTTGTCCGTGATAAATATCCTTAAAACTATTTAATGCAACTCTGCAGATGATTCGAGACGAAACGAAGATTTGTTAATCTGTAATTTAAAGTTACACCGGCAGCTTCCATCTCTTTACTGAGCGCATTAAATCCAGCTTTCTTTTATCCTAAAGGTTTGAGTTCAGATGAAATGGGAAGAAAAAAAAAATGGGCAAACGGCGGTCGGTGGATTTACAAAGATGATGTCAGTGGGCGGGGCCAGGGAGACGGGGGACAGATGCTCTCCGTCTCCCAGCCCTGAGGTGGGGCGAGTCGTTCGTCTGACCTGGATATTCGTCGGGAGTTGACCTCTTTGCGCCAAACGCCGCTCCTCGGCTCAGACGTGACTACTGAGCGCCGTCTCGCAGCCTCCTTCCCCTCCCGTCTCCTCCCCGCTTCAGTCCCTCTCCTCCCTCCATCCCCTGCTTCTCTCATCCCGTAGACGTCGCAGAGCGAAACCATATAACCCACACTTGCAGGTTTAGCACTCGGACCAGATCTGTGCATTCCATATTATAAAATGTCCTTTGTTTTTGATATAATTTTATTTTTTAAATAAAAAAATAAAGATATGCATATTGTCATACGCATGTATTCAAAAGTCAGAATACATTCTCAGACTGAGGACCTGATATCATCTCCTGTTGCCCTTTTACAGCACTTCAAACTGTACTTATGATCCTGCAGAATCAATAAAATGTTTTTTGTTTTTTTTCTCAGACAACCGCTCGTCTCGTCTTCATTTACAGAATTGTTGCGTCACACTCTTAAAACCCGTCGAATCACTTGTTTGGCAGCTTTCACAAACAAACCAGCATGAAGTTACTCAACATTGACGCAGTTCAGACAGAAACATGGTCAATATGATATAAAAGTTATAAATGCATTAAGCCCTTTATTTATGGTAAATAAAATGAAGCGACTTCAAGTAAATTTCTACTCAACATTTGACGTCTTATCTAAATAATTTAGCTGTTTTTTGTGTTACCACAGTTTTTCATAGAACCGCAGGATCAGTTAAAGTATTTATTTATCTGCCCATCACGCATAGCACCGCATCCTCTGACCTTGGAAAGCACAAGGTCGTTTATATTTCAGTTTTACAGACGTAGAGCTAAAATTTGGTGTAGTAGTAGCTGAGACTGATCCAAAACACGCACTCTGAGCTCTTATCGTTCGCACAAAGGTTTAGTTTAAAACGTGTCCATTAATTCTTTGGCGTCAACTCCGTTAGCAGGTGGGCAGATTTTAATAAAACTTCCAGGAATAGGACCAACTTTTGGAGTCGATCCAATTCAAGATGGCCGTCACAAACCTTACTTTCTGAGTTCCATTAGAATTTGTCCAGTGCTTCAGGAAATATTTTGCTAACGTAAACATTAATGTGAAGATCCTAGGCAAAGTGTAGAACTCGCCGTGTTGTGAATGACTCTCGGCTACTACCACACCAGACTTTAGCTCAATATGACATTGGCAGAGACATTTTTATGTTTCTTGGTCTGTTAGCTGTGGCGGCCATCTTGAATTGGGTTAATCCATCGGGTATATTAGTTCCTGGAAGTTGCAATACAATTTGTTCATTGGTGGACTGGATATTTTACTAACATCCATTGTTGGTAGGAAAGTTTAAAAACAAAAGATCCCAGAAGTCATTTGATTTTCAGATGAGTAAATTGTTTTGCACTAAACTGTAGCTCAGCTTCTGTAAAATTAAATAAATTGAAGCGAATTAAATATCGCGACCATCTTGAAATTGTCTCAAAACTTAAAAATTCAGTTTCAAGGCAGAAACGTCAGTTTCGGTTTAAATCGTAAGTGGGCGGGGCCTCGAGCCGAGTTCCACCCGAACGCTTCCGATCAGCTCCGATCCCTCGCAGCTGCTGTTTGTGCTGCGCATCCTCCTGTCGACTGGGTCCAGCGCCTCCATCATGGTGGACATTCTGGTGTTGATGTTTTTCGCCGTCATGGGCCTCGTCTTCCTCTCCTACATCATCTACATGTTGTGATGAAGAGGCGTTTGGCTCGGCGGCCGCCGTGCATCATGGGACGGGATCCATCATCGTGGACTTGAGGTAAAACGCTGCTCGTTTCGTGGACCAGTCCAGTTTGTAACATCCGTATTTACGCATCTGAAGACTTCCGTTTAGTTTTAACCGACAAACCGTGAACGCGTCGTGTGTTTCAGAGAGAAGAACCTGGTCCAGGCCATGATGCTTCTCCTGCAGCTCGGATGGGACCTGAGGAGTCCAGAGGACAAATGGGCGTCCTCTTCATCACTTTCGTCATTTCCCCCACTCTGATCTGGTCACTACACCTTCCTGCAGTTTGGTTTCTGGTTGGGAGGTGGAGCAGTGGGTAGGCTCGAACCCCGTCCTAACCATTTCGCTTTTTAATTAGTTTTTAATTCAGGTGGACACAACAATCCACGTGCAACCCCCCCCCCCCCCCCCTTCACATTTCAGTGACATGGAATAGTGAGCCAGGACAAAGTCCTCATCACAAGATGACCCTCTTTGTTTGCTGACCTACATGTTTCTTTGAGTGGTGAAGTTTTCACAAGTGGTTTTGCTTCATAAATGTCAAGTTCTCAGCTGAAATGACACGTTGGTCAATAAAGACGGTTCCTGTTACACAGACTTGCTGTTTCTTCGACTCTGTTGGGAATCGATGAGCTCGATCGGTGCTGATGACCCCGCTGTGTCAACCTTTATTTACTGAGTCACGACTCATTTTCAAGAGACCTGTTTTTAAAAATAAATAAAAAAAAAGACACAGACGAGACGCAGCAATAAACAACCATAAAAGGCATATAAAATAAAAAGTAAATAGAAGTGGCGATAAGCCAAAATAAAAACAAGCTACATTATGAAACTCAAATTAAAACAGGAACACGTCTGCGTGGATTTTTGCCATGAACAGATGTTTAAATCCCTTGGAGGTCGAGAGCTTCAGGTGTTCTTGTAAGATGTTCCAGGAAACGGGAGCGGAGTAGAAGAAGGCCCTTTTGCCAAATTCAGTCTGCACTGAGAGGACGCTGCAGGTAATGATGTCCTGAGAGCGCACGCTGTAGCTGCACTCACGCAGAGACATGAAGGAGATGTATGAAGGCAGCAGACCAAGAAGTGATTTAAAGATGGAAATGTACCAGTGGCAGAGTCTGTGAAGTTGATAACGAGTGATTTAAGACGATAAAGTGAGTAGATGTGAGCCGCACTGTCCTCTTGTTAAATAATAAAGTCTTTCTTAAAAACATTTACGACAGCTTTACAAAGGTTTCTTCGTGTTTTCCATCCTCGAGTCAAAAGTTTCATTTCATGTGACGTGCTCCTGCAGGTGGTGCCGTTGGACCATAAACATCTGGAAAACCCTGCAGCTAAAACTGAGGCCCAGTCCAGCTGATCCAGCTGTGGTTTCTGTTGAACAGGTGATGAAAGCTGCAGGTTGATAACGTGAAACGCTTTGTTTTCTCTAGTTAACAGGAAGTTTGAGTCTGTTTTTATTGTCTTTTAAACGTGTTGCATCACAACTGTTGTATCGGTTGTACAAACTAGACCCAGACACAACGGTCCTTTAATTTTTTTGTCTTTATTTTATTGTGTTGCCTCTAAACTTGTGTTATTTTGTTATAAAATGAAGCCAAAGAGAAAGTCGGACAGATTCAAATAAAGGATTCCAACAGCTAGAGCCAAGATGAAGCGCTGGGCCAGATTTCCTCCATAGAATAAAAGATGTCCTCATCTTCTTGTCCCTCATCTTCTTGTCCCTCGACTTCTTGTCCCTCATCTTCTTGTCCCTCGACTTCTTGTCCCTCGACTTCTTGTCCCTCGTCTTCTTGTCCCTCGACTTCTTGTCCCTCGACTTCTTGTCCCTCGACTTCTTGTCCCTCGACTTCTTGTCCCTCGACTTCTTGTCCCTCATCTTCTTGTCCCTCGACTTCTTGTCCCTCGACTTCTTGTCCCTCGACCTCCTCGCCTCCCATGCTGTGAAGACGGAGCGCAACACACCAGGTGAAGCAGCAAAACATTTTATAATCCCTGTTTATAACTTGGTTTGAACAGCTCGCTTAGATAAAAGTCACTTTTTCTTTATGCCTGGAGAAGATTTTTGTCATGAAATAACTAAACGCTGAACTCCTGAGCAAACGTTTTCAAACACGACTTTAGAGTTTTGAAAACCTGAACGTTTGGTATTCTCCAGAGACCGAACGTTTCAAAGAAACGCACACGCGTTACGACTTTAGAGCTTCCAGAGTGGCACCTTGCTCTCGCCGGCTCTCGGCGGTCCATTTCTTCCAGTTCTCGTTTTGAAATGATGTGGATGAGAGCGACGCCGATGCAGTTTCCCAGCACGTTCACGACGGTGTTGCAGCGGTCCCTAAAAAAAAACAAACCACATAAACTAATAAACAAAATAAATAATTAAAAAAAACAACAACTTGAAAGTGTTTTGTTGTCACATCAGAAGAGACTTTTACAGATCTGGACAGTCCGGTCTCAGAATGTCTCGCTTCAACCTCAGACTCGATTCTGATCCGTCTCGGTAGTTTTCGTTTTGCTGAATCGTTGGTGTGAACAGGTCGTCGCAGCACGGCCGCCTGAAACTCACCACCAGTGGGTAAAAAGGTGAGAAGTCACAAAACACTCGTCATCCTTTTCCACCGCAGCCTGTCGTCGTGCTGTGTTTTCAGTCCTGCTCCCTCGTGTAATCGGTCTCCTGCACTCGTCTCGTTAGTTTTTCTGTATTTAGTTCTGTTTCCTCGTGTGATCAATAGATGCACGTTTTGCTGCCTCGCCAGCCTCATTTGTTTTAAGAATAAACTATTTATTATATTCCAGGGTCTCTGTGGGAGAACTGTCATTTCTAACCCGGGTCATTCGGGCCGAGCTGTAATAATGTGTTGGATGGGCGAGCCGGGTCGGGCTTTTGATTGCGTCAGCGCACGCGCACGGCTGGCGATCTAATTATATGGCAACATGGCTTGCCATACAATCACCAGCCATACACAGCCATTTGACCGCAGGTTGATCGGCCTTGAAAGAGGTCAAATAATCAAATAAAGTTCAGTTAATCTTCAGATGGGACTATACAGCCGGGAAGTGATCCATCAAAGCCCAAATGGACGCTCATTCAGCCGCTGCGCTCAGCAGACGTGCGCGGCCGACGACTCAAACAGGTGAGATCCCAAAGCAGACATGTCAGAGCGTGGTCCGTGTCTGAATAATGCAGAATGCAGCAGAAGCAGGGACTTAATGCTTTTGACAGCCATGAAAGGACAAACACCCCCTCAGCCATGTGCGTCCACCGACCATTAATAACTATACAAGCAGTAAAAGCTTAATTAAAAGTGTCTGGGGGGGGGGGGTTTGAGTTTGGACCTGTGATTACTGTTAATTCGACGGGTCCGGGTGGGTTCGGAAATGTTGGCTACAGGACGGGGTCGGGTCGGATCTGAATGTTTTGGGTCAGAATGCAACTGTGGTCCGCCGGCGCCTGGGTCAAGTCTAGAGCAACGAATGTGACATGGCCGAGTCGAGGCCACCTTCGCTCATTTGGTCTAGAGCTCCTTCTGAACTCTGTCGTCAGCCAACAAGCACGGAAACGTCTGCACCTCCACACATGATGCACATATTTTTAAAGTAAACTAGAAAAACAAGCGTCGTGGGGTTTTAATAAAGACGGGTCTGATTTTTGTAAAGGAAACGTTCTCATGGTTGACGTCTCTCTGTGGTCAACCAGTGGCCCCAAGTCTGCTGACGCCAAGTCTTCAGCTCGACTCAGAACTTCAGCTGAGGAAAGAGCCGAGCTGGAAGTGGGTGGGGTCAGCCAATGCAAAGACCAAAGTTGCGCCGAGTCGACCCGAGTGAGGCTGACTCGAAGCATAGGAAAACGAGCGCCGTGATTTAAACCTTACAGCAGCCACTCCACCACCACCAGGAGGGAGGCTTCTTTCACAGGCAGACCCACGGCGGTCAGGACGAAGAGCGTCGTCACGGCTCCGGTCGCTGGGATCCCTGCGGCGCCGATGCTGGTAACCGTTGCCGTCACGCTGCACAGAAAACAGACGACACCCGTAACGTTCCCCGCGCCTTCACGCACACAGGTTTCACTGCCGTAAGTCTGCGTCTGACCCGATGGTGATTATCTGGGACAAGTTCAGGCGGATGCTGTTGAACTGCGCGATGAAAACGGCGGCGACCGCCTCGTACAGGGCGGTTCCGTCCATGTTGACGTTGGTGCCGATCGGCAGCATGAAGCGGGCGATCCTGTGGTCGATCTTGTTCCTCTCCAAGCAGCAGCGTAAAGTGAGCGGGAACGTGGCAGAACTTGGGAAAAGCGCATCGTCAAAACACAAAATAAAACCTTTGGACTCGTGAACTCTGATGCTGATGAAGTTACCTGGAGGAGATGAGGACCGCCGTCAGCAGCGCAGGAGACACCCCACGGATGATTTTGAAGGGGTTACGCCTCACGCACACGAGGTAGATCAGTGGCAGGACTACTACTGAATGAACAATGAGCCTGAAACACACATTTACACGTTGGTGAAAACAGCTGGATATGATCCCTGACAAAGAAATACAATTTGGAGAATGTCTGTAAGAGATTTAACCCTTTCACTAAACAATTACTGTATTTTATGGCCTATAAGTCAAGTTTTTTTTTTGCATAATTTGCATGCCTTGCAATTTATATACAGAAGTGACATATTTATGGATTCCCCCCATAAATATAAACCAACGTTTGGATGAGATACGACCGCTTTCATTCATTCTGACTGGAAATATTTACCCTTACCATGTTCAGCTGCTAGATGGCACTCGAGTAGTATGGCATGCCGTTGTGTCACGTAATAGGTAAAAGTGGCTATTAATGACACAATCGGCTTGCCATATCCTGCCACCATTGTCCAGCTCGCATGGAGCAAACGTCACATCGGCTTCATTTCGCTTATATGACGAAGTGACATATTTATGGATTTTTCCACTTTATTAGACATTTTTGGACCGATGCGACTTATAGGGGCGGTGCAACGTGTACAGCGGAAAATATGGTAATGTAAAGAACAATGCATGCTTAGGAGCAGTCAAATCAAGAAACTTATGTTTTTATTTGATTTAGAAATAACTATTATTGCCAGATATGACTGAAAAGGTGAAACTAGCATCAAAATTAGCACCAAAAGAAGCTCAGCTCTCTCTTCACTGCAGGTGGCAACACGGACGACAGAACTTCAAATTTGTTTCTGAATGTTCGTCCATCAGACGCGACAATCTGACCGTGCTGTTAATAGTTAATCGCTCAGTAATATTCATGAACAAAGTGAGAAATTAATTATAGCTGGCTGCGTAACTAGCTACAGTTTGTGTTGTTTTGCTCTTGGCTTCAATAATTTCAGGTCTGACGTTTTGTTTTTTGTCTTTAACTTGTTCAATTTTCTTATTTTATTAAAACGCACCGCTCAATATGCCTTCGTGGACACGTACTGGACAGAAAGTCCATTTAAAAAGCGCTGATGTCCAAAAACAAACTGAAAAACCTCCAGGAAGCCTGGAGGGGGTTTAAAACCTCAGAACAATGCTGTACAATTATTTGTTTGTAATATTTTGTGGTTTCTGTCATTAAGCTTTTCAGATGCTCTTTTTGTGGTCCTCAGGTCTCTAATGGGGAAATGCAGCGGTTTCTAATGTTCATAAAAGGCCGGGAAGCTCTCAGAGAAGACAAGCTGGAAACCACGGGGCGTTTACTCATATCTTCACTTTCCAGAGAAGCTTTTTCGTAAATTACGGAGCGGTTGTTTTGCTTTGATGATGGAGCGTTGTTAGGACCATTTTAACCCCAATAATTCAGTAAACACCTAAATCTTGTGTATTGTAATAAAAATCAATACAGCGAAGTTTGGATGAAGTTGAACTGAAGATCAAACATGAAAGTGGAAGCGCATTCAGTACGTTTGACGAATATCAAGTTAAACTGCTCGACTGGATCAACTTGTGCTGTAGCTTCATTTCTTTAACTACCGTACTTGCCGCCATACACGTCGCACCGCCGTATAAGTCGCATCAGAGCAAATACTGTATGTCTAATAAACCGGAGAACAACATAAACACGTCGCTTCGCCGTATAAGTCGCATTTATTATGCGTCACCGCTGACAACCTGGAAACGTGGGCCGGTGTTGTGTCAAAAATCGTTTGGCTGCCAAATTGCGGCCGCAGGAGCGTGCACGGGAGGACTTTAACAAGAATTTAACAAGCTAGACACTTAAAAACAATTATTTGTTTGCTCGACATTATAGTAAAGGTGTCTCAGTTGAACTTTTCCTTAATAAATGCACTTTAATGTTCAAATCAGCTGCATTTGGTCTGGGTGGAGAAATGAAGCTAATTTGACATTTGCTCCAGAAGTTCTGGAGTGAGACACTTGGCCTGTATGGCAAGCCAAGTGTCTCATTAATAGCCACTTTTACCTATTAATGAGACACTTGGCTTGCCTTATAGGTCAACCGCCCTCTAGCAGCTGAAAATGGTAGCGTTCAATATTTTCCATGTCAGAATGAATGAAATTGTCAGATCTCAGCCAAAAAATTTGGTTTATAAATATGGGGAGAATAAATAAATACGTTGCGTTGCTGCACATGTCGCAGGCACAAGGCAACAAGTGAATAAAGATGTACCCAGTGATGACGACAGCCATGAATTTTCCCAGTTTCAGGATCGTTTGCCAGTCACGAACTTCAACAACGTGCTCTGCGATCATGAAGAGGACCCCAAATGGCAGGAACCTAAAGCAGAAGCCATCATAATTAATAATATGACACAACTTCCTAAAAACGGTCAACATCTATACAAACAACATAGGACTTAAATAAATCTTTTACTGCAGCTACATGAGGTTTAAAGATAAATATTCAAATTATTTTTGCCATTTGACTCCACAGCCACCACGTTCCACCTCACCAAAGAATTTTATTGACCATAGACTTGGTGACGTCATTGATGACGAGGGCAACCTCTTTTAACATGTTTGCTCGTTCTCCCATCGAGTTGAAGGTCAGTCCGCTCACAAAGGAGACGATGATGAGGCCCAGCGTGTTGACTCCACCAACAAAATGACCCTCCAGAACAACGGTGGTGTCGTTCTGAGGCAACAAAACATCAGATCACGTAGTTATCGCAACTTAAGAAGGAGGGTTCTGTCTGGGTATAAAGTAACCATTACCATAGTGGAGTTTGAACTGGAAATAACTTGAAACTCCCGCCTGTTTGTTTGGTACTGGAAAAAAAAATAAATGTTGTAAACACTGCATTTTATAGAAAGATAAAAACACCTGGACCTGGAAATTAAACAACCTGTTGGAAACAAGCCCGAAGCAGATTCTTTGGCACCATGTTCCTAGAGACAAGAAAAAAGTCCAACTGCATTCAAACAACTTATCCTGTGAAAATGAAAGAAACCAACATGTGAGGAGCTGCAGACACGACGGGATGCAGCGCAGGTCTGACCTGAACAGATCCAACAAGGCGTCAATCGTGGAAAACTCTTCATCTTCCTCAGAGTCACTTGCAACAACAGCATGCGAGCCCCACCCTGGCTTCATGATCAGCACCAGGATCAGTCCTGCAGCAAACACACACACGTTCTTACGCGATACAGAACACTGAAAAGACAAGGGAATATAAAAGCAATGACTATGTTTGTAAGACTTTAAACTCTTAAGGTTGATTTAGACTTCATTCGAAGTGCCAAAAATTGTTTCTCGCTGACGTGGCTGCATACAGAAAATACTTATTGTTGCTCTTGCAGCACTTCTGAGAACCGGTTCTGTGCACAATCGCATCAGAAGTATTGTCTCACAGGGGCGATTTCTGGCCCGAGCCTGACCCGAAATTCGGGCTGGGTCGGTCCAAAATGATGGGCGGGTCACGTTGGTCTCAAGCTTTTGATGCGGTTATACGTATCATACAGCACAAAGAAAACTAAATAAGAAAGCACAATATAAAATTGTGTTAATCTACTTGTAGAGGAGGGGGCTGTAAGTTTACTGAGGGTGAGGAAAGAAAGAAAATAGAGTGCAGAAGTTAATCAGACTGTGAAAAGACAGAGTAGTGCTGGCGCATTGCACAATTGACCATGTGGCCCCGCCCACCCTGCTTTGTTCTTATCACACATCTGAGGATTTCCATTTGACCCACAACACGCGACATAATGGAGCTGGAAGGTGTTAAGCAAAAGCTAAAAATGGAAGAACTCACTCTACAAAGGCATCACAGTGAAACCTGCTGATGTGTGTCAGGTCGGGTGCACGCTCGGGTCCGACCGGTTGAAAGAGGTAAAAAAAAAAAAGTCCAGTTGAGCTCCTGATGGATCACTGGATCATCGGCCGCGCGCGCCCTGCTCCGCACCCTGCTCTCATCTGCGGTGGAAGACGTTGCAGCACCTGAAGCTACAAAAGCCGAAGCGAGCAGCACGTTCAGTTAAAATAGACTTGTTCTATATTTTTCCAAATAATTTTGCTCTAAAAATATTTTGTTCGTCTGTTTAACAGCCCATTTTAGAGTTTTTTTTTTTAAAGCTATTCGTTTTGTATGTTAATATCCATTTGGTGACTTGTTTATAAACAAGAAATCTTATATCTTCCTTTCTTTGAAATGCATTTTTAAAATATGTCAAACTGATTTGCTTACAAAAGCAGTAACAGCTTCATTTAAATAACATGTCGGGTTTAGTTAATTAGTCGGGTCAGGTCTGGCTCGGGCCGGGTCAGATTTTTTTCGGTCCGAATGCAACGCTAGCATAGGCCAAGTATTGTGTTTGGTCAGAACTTTGTGGGTGAGATTATTCAGAAAACAGTACCTGCAGTACCTCGGTCTCCTGGAGACAAATTCACAAAATAGTGCTTCTCCTCGGTTAAAAACAGAAACGGCAGATCTTCCTCCTGCATCGCAAACTGAAAACAAACTGCCGACCGTGCCGTTTCTGTTTGTGTGTGACGTCTGCTGCAGCAGGACTTACCAGGACCTTGGTTTCTCTGAGTATAAACTGCCCATGCAAAAAAAGAAAGTCTCACAACTGCGTCAGCGAGCTCGGGTGTCTTACGTGTCGTGAAGTATAAACCAAGCTTTAGTTTTTACTGATCCAAGTCGAGACAAACCTCATGAATATACACTGAACGTCTTGCTGTCGTGTCAAAGCTAAAGGGGTTGTTCAGTTGAATCTTGACTGTGATTTGTTTTGTTGGACGCGTGTTGTCTCCAAAGTTCAGAAAAATAAAAATAGACACGTTTATGCAAATTGGTGACAGCAGAGCTCTTGCACAGAAACATTTAAAATGTCTCTTTATGCGACAAAGTTCGGGAAAACCTTTCAGACTTTAAAAAGCTTTCAGGCACATGGGATCGGGATGATGGTTGGTGCGGTACCGGCATCGAAGCCGGTCTAAACAAGCTCTCACCGACGGTCACAGCTTTCAGAGTTGTTGAGATAAAGTAAACTCCCGCTCGAACTGCGATCTTTCTGGAGGTGTTGATGCTGAGACCAGTGACTCCTGTGAAAAATACAAAACATACAATATAACGTCCTCTGCCAGAAGATGAGCAGGTTATTACAGTCATTAAACAACAAAACACTACAACATATGTTTTATTAATGTCAGTGTTTAATATAAGGAACCTTGGTGTTATGTTACCAGGACCACTTTATTCTGCCTGAACAATATCTTTAAAATTAGAAACATCTTGTCCCAAAATGATGATGAAAAACTTGATGAAAAACGGGCGGGACTTTGCATTTATCACTTCTAGACTGGTCAACTGTAATTCTTTATTATCTGCGTTATCAGCCTTCCCTCCGTGGTTCTGCACCTGCTCCCTGTTGTCATTTTGGTCAGGTGTCTCCATTCGTCTCATCGGGTCCTTTTAGTTTCTCAGCCTTCAGCGCTGCTGCAGCCGAGCATTGTCGAGCTTAACGCCATGTCCGGTTCAGCTCCGTGCCTCTTTCAGATAACTGCTCAGTTGCTGCATTTTGTTTTCTGTTTAAATAAACTTGTTAGATTTTTTTTTTTAATTGGAGCTCCTCTTGTTATATATACTGTGTTCGACACAATCCCCAAACTGAGATACTGCCGTAATTTTCGCCGTACACGTCACACCGCCATATAAGTCGCGTCTATTATGAGTCACCGCTGACGCGACGCATTTGTTACGCGTCACCACTGACCACCCGGAAATGTGAGCCGGTGTTGTGGCAAAAATCGATTGGCTGCCAAATGGCGGCCACGGGAGCGTGCAAGGGAGAACTTCAACAAGAATTTAACAAGCTTAACACTTAAAAACAATTATTTCAATTCAATTCAAAAATACTTTATTAATCCCAGAGGGAAATTATTTGTTGTTGTAACTCGTTATCCTCATTTCATTGAGAGACGTTATAGATGCTGATGCTGTAGGCAGGAAGGATCTCTTGTAAAGGTCCATCTCACAGTGGATCCTAAGAAACTGGCTGCAGATGTCGTCCGATCCGTCCACCCAGACTCGGCTGGTCTCTCGGTTCCCCTGGACTGTAGGACCGCCTGAATGCCGGGGAGAACTCCTCCCAGAGCGATGGCCACTCCTCCCAGCAGTCTGCCGAGCTTCTCGTCGCTGCGGACAGCCAACTGTAGGTGCTGAGGGACGTTCCTGTTCTTCTGCTGTCATGAGCCGTGTTTCCTGCTAGTTCCAGGATCTCAGTGGTCAGGCACTCGAGCACAGCTGGCAGGTAGATGAGAATGCGTCCACAGAACATCCTTTTCAACCCATCTGAGATTTGGGGCTGTAGTTGATATTATTCGAGCTTTTGAGGTGTTAATCAGCTGCTGCTGGTTGTAGAAAACTGCCTTGTTGCCATGGTTACGCATCATAACAAATGTCCAAAACTAAAAGTTTCAGTAAAAATCCTTCCAGCTGCACAGCATCCGATACCAGAGGAAACAATCATCCAAACAGCATGATTTACATCCAGAAAAAGAGGAATTAAAGTTTCCAAAAGCAAAATCTCAGAATGAAAGTAGCAGAGCTGCTCCAACATGCAGACACTTGGAGCGGCACGATTCTAGAATTTTTTGTTTTGTTTTGAATTTGTTGAATTTTGAATTTGTTTTGCTCAAAATTATAGTAAAGGTGTGTCTCAGTTGAACTTTTTCTTTAATAAATGCTCTTTAATGGTCAAATCAGCTGCATTTCGCCTGGGCAGCGCGGAGAAATGCAGCTGATTTGACGTTTGCTCCAGGGGTTCCGGAGAGGAATGTACCTGTATGGCAAGCCAAGTGTCACATTAATAGCGACTTTTACCTATTAATGAGACACTTGGCTTGCCATATAACCACGGCCCTCTAGTGCCTGAAAATGGTAATGTTCAATATTTTCCATGACAGAATGAATGAAAACAGTCAGATGTCAGTCAAAAATTGGGTTATAAATATGGGGGAAAACATAAATATGTTGCTTCGCTGTATAAGTCGCAGGCATGCTGATTTATGCAAAAAACTGCGACTTATATGCAGAAAATACGGTGAATTGGACACGTTTCAAGAATGTTAAGGTAGCAATTTAACAAACAAATCCATTCACAACGTGAAACTTGCATCTTTTGCGTTACAGGAGCTTCCCGGTGACGTCCAGGTGTAATTAATCCTTACTGATCCAGCTCACCTGTGATCACGCTCGTCACGATGAGAGGAACCGTCACCAACTGCAGCATCCTCATCAGAATCTCACCTGGGAAGCCCACACGCTTTAGCTGATCCTCAGTCAGGTTGAAGTTTTTAATAACCACACCGACAACAATCCCTGCGTACAAACACAACACATCAGCTTCAGTTGAGCACACCTGTCCGATCCTGTTGAGCCACTCACCCAGAGCAACAGCTGTCAGGTTAGATAACACAAAGATGTTCTCCGCCACGCACTTCAAGAATTTCCTCCATTTATTTGAAAATGTACTAAAACTTTGCTGATTGACGTCCATTTTGTCCCAATGACTCCAAAATAAATCAGTTGTTTGTCTTCTGGCCTCCTGGTGACTGAGGATTGTTATTTTTTAAATTATGGCATTCTTCTGAAGGATGTCCGCTGCTTCTGTTGCTAAGCTATCTAATGAGAGACATTATTTAAATGATGCTTTTTAGGGCCTTAAAACAGAGTAAACCATTTTTTTTAGTTATTAAACAGTATATGTTTAATATATGACGTGTCGGTGTTAAATATTGTAAATAAAAGTGCAGTTACCTGAAATCACGGGTGTTTCTGAAGGAAGGAGTCCAGTTCCGTTAGCACCGTTAAGCGCAAGCGGAGAGTAGATCTGGGTTGCCAGATATGATAAAAAAAAAAACATGTACCATCGCTTTAAAACTGTTGATATTTTGACTAAAACCATCATATGTACGGCGTGAAGGCGAACTCTTTTCAGTTGTGGTGATGGTGGTGTGGCGAGGTGGGGTTGGGGGTGGGGTGCATGCACTTTCTCACTCAGCCCGTGGGGGGACGGTTAACAGTGCAAACTTCTTCCAGAAGGCGCACCTGGTGGGCACATGGATTTTCAGATATTTGAGTGTTTGCCTAATTTAAAACTTGTTTTCTGCTCACAGAAATATCAAAACCGTTATATATTTGGGCTTTAAAAGTATTCATAGTACTGTATAACGTACAGACCATAGATATAATTCTATGAATAGGATAAATGATCTGGCAACGTTCATTATGCGCATGCGCATTGATGCTCTACTACTAAACTTTGCCGCACATCTGGCTTGCCGGTTCACTTTGAAGAACAGTACTATATTTGTTAAAGCTCCTATATATATATTTAACGACACCACAAACTGCCAGTAAATGAGAAATATGCTCTCACTGGTGGCTTCTGTAATCTTAAAATGCGGCGGTCACGTGATCCACCAAGAAGCGCCAGTTCCCGCCTTTAAAAACAAGTTTTCTTTCAGTTTTCGACAAGCACCTGTCAAGTAAGTCTACAAATTTCTTTATTTTTTTTATTTCTCTTATAAATTAAGTTGTTGTTGTGCCCTAACCCCACTGTCTGACTGCTCTTCTTTAGAACGCTTATAGCTGTTAGCTATAGTTAGCATTGCTAACAATAGCTAACAGCTATAAGCTGTGGCTAACATGTTGCTAACTTAGCAACATGTTAGCCACTAGAGTTAGCAACATGTTAGCCACTAAAATGCTAATCAAGTTTCAAGTGAAGTATTTGTGGTTATTTTATCCGTGGGAGAGTATGTAATCTGCTTTCAGCGAACAAGACATAGCATCTGATTCAATAATAAAAAGGTAAATGATATGTTAAAATAATTACACCTTTGATTTTACTTTCGCCTTTATCCATGGTTGTATTTATTTATTCTAATTATATCATCCATCCATTTTCTTTACCCGTTTATTCCATTTTGGGTCACGGGGGACACTGGTGTCCATTATCTAGCAATCATTGTGGGAGGGGCGGGGGACACCCTGGACAGGTCTCAAGTCCATCACAGGGACACATGGAGACAAACGAGACAAACAAACATTCACTCACTCACAACTAGGGCCAATTTAAACCAGTCAGCCTAACATGCATGTTTTTGGTCTGTTGGAGGAAACCGGAGTACCTGGAGAAATGAATGGAAAGAACATGCACACTCCACCCAGAAAGGTCCCAGGCTGGGATTTGAACTGGCGACCTTCTCACCGAGAGGCTACAGCTCATCCAACTGAGCCACTATAGTAAAAATGTGCTAAAATAGATCAAATCAATACATTCAATGATGTTCATTTGTCAATCACAACGTATTTTGATTCAACTTAAAACTTACTACAACCCAGAAACACCAGTACTCTTCCATTTTTAGTGGTTTAGTAGTAGTATTTTTCAAAATGTGACTTTCAAAGGAGCCAACTTTTCTCGTAATTGCTTAAACTTGTCAAGTTTAATTTAAATGTTTTTCTTTGGCTGACTTACAGAAATCACACATCGTCCCTCAGATCGTTTGGGATTTCCACTATTCATTTAGTTAACATGTTTAATTGTATACAGTAATTTTATTGTCGTCAATGGCTGCTCAATGTTTCAATGAATTAAAGAAAAAAAAAACACGGTTAAATCGGAACGTTTTTAAAGTGCTTGGAAATATAATAAACACTAAGATATTCTGTTTGATATATAAGCAGGCAAAAACAATTTTAAAGTATTTGTTCAGAAAGTAAAGATGCAGTGAGCATATGTCAGCCACATTAGTCTAGATTTGCTTTTGTTACTCGTATATCATACTCGTATCACTCCTACGCGATGCCAAAACCTTTGAAATGGCAGCGTAGTTGCTCTCTTGAAACGGACAAAGCAAAGCGTTGAGAACATCCATCCATTATCTTTACCTGCTTCTTCCTTTTTTGGGTTGTGGGGGACACTGGTGCCTATATCCAGCTATCAAATTTGATCAATAAATGAGATCCATCTCGTACATTATTTATTATGCAGTTGTCTACATTTCATTGAGTTTAAGTTTACACATGATTTACAGTTGTACGAGAGCCATTTTATTTGGTTTTTTCCTCATGTTTTTTACGTTTTCTGCTTTAAAGAAGAAACTGTAGGAGCTAGCCTTGCTGCTAAATTGCTTATCCAAATCCAGATTTTAACTATTTTTATTTTTACTTTTGACTATTAAGGTATCGGGCTGCACAGTGGCACAGTGGTAGAGCTGCTGCCTCTTAGCGAGCAGGTTACACTGGTTCAAATCCCGGTCTGGAGACCTTTCTGAGTGGAGTTTGCATCTTCTGTTTGTGCACATGTGGGTTTTCTCCAGGTACTCCGGTTTCCTCCCACAGAACAAAAACATGGATGTTAAACTGATGGTGACTCTAAATTGTCCCTAGGTGTGAGTGAGAGAGTGAATGGTTGTTTGTCTCTATGTGTCTCTGTGATGGACTGGAGACCTGTCCAGGGCGTACCCCGCCTCTCGCACTGTGATTGCTGGACATGGGCACCAGCGACCCAGTGGATGGATGGATGTAAAGGTATCTGTAGAATTTCATTCCTTTCCAACTAAAATCATTTTTGTGTTGCTTGTGTTTTTAATTTTTGTGCTAAGCTTTGCTAGTAAGTTACAATCTGTAGTTTTTACGTTTAATTTCTTCTCAGTCAGTCTCTTCTTCCATATCTCAGCCAGATCATGTGTCATGTAAACACATTTCTTTTTAAACGTCACACTGTTCGTTCATTTTTTCTTCTCATTTCTTCCAAACACTTAAAGTCTTTCCCACATGTGACAGAACAGCTCTGGGAAATAATCTGAATTCCTTTGCTGATAGTATAATCTACTCATCTCACCGTGACAATACACCTACTGTTCAGTCTAAAAGCACTCACACATGCAGTCACCTCAGTCCGAACTGCATCTTTGGCCTCTCTGAATCAAATGACACTGCAGTAAGCTGACTCTGCGGGTGTTCATTTAGGTAAAAAAAAAAAACAACTTGGCGTTTGGCTGTTTTCCACTTTGTGTGTATTGGCTGTAGCTCTTACCTCTTTTCTCCCTGGTTCCTGATCATGTCACGGCTTTATTTTTACCCATTGAATCACGACAGGACGGGGCAGGTGCTCTTTTGTTTTCTGCCTCAGAGGCCTTGACTTTTGCTTGGAGCCATATTTTGGTCACATTCTGTGATAAATTGACATCCTTATGTGTTTATAATTACTTAAAATGGGATAACTTTAGTCCACCCATGAAGTGGTCTGACTATTTTAGAGTTGCTGGCATCAGTCCTCAAATTTCTGAGAACATTTCGTTCCCTTCAGGGTTTTGCTTCATTTTCTGGATATCTGGCCAAATGTACATCTCAGCTGGATGTTTCAGATCTATAGTTTGATGTCCAACATGTCACAGATGTGGGAAATAATCATCCGTGTTTTGAAACTCAACAGAACAAAAGAAGTCAAAGATATACTGTAGAGTGTGTTTCAAATTAAGGGATGTAGTTCTCGCCAAAGTTTTCCTCTTTGCAACATTTCTCATTTTTGCACAATTGAATAAAACGATAAGTCTTGAGCAATCAATCACTAAAACGTAACTGTGGGAGCGGATGGACAAACTTGGACCAGAACATTCTGGAGCAAAATCTGTTTTGGAAGTGATGAAAGCGTAGAATGCAGATTTTTTTCTTTAAATTTATGCTGCGTAATGATACAATGACACAATTTGTGTTGATGATAACATAGCCCTTTTCCAGCACCTGTAATCTCTTGAGACTATCGCTGACACGCCAGCGAGATTAAGTTTATAGGGGGGAGGGTGTAACAGTGAGGAATTGGGTGTAATGATATAATAAAAGTAGCAAAGGGAAAAAGCTTAGCAATAAAGCAAAAACGACAAGTAGGGACAATGAATGAAAAGAGGAAAAGTGGAGGGAGGGTGCAGCGATGGCCTTCAGAGGTGGAGTTCACGTGGGGTGGTGGTTTCTCTGTGTGCAGGCTGAGAGGGAAATGGGAGAGGATGTCTTCTTCCTGTGACCAAGAATGCCCGGGCTTGGAGGTTTCTCCTCCTCCTGCGTGAGGTTTCTATCTTTATGTCGCACGTTAATCGATCAAACCCATCTTTTGGTTTAAGCCATTGTGGATCTGATGCGCTATTGTTTCTGCACTGAGGTTAAAATAAAACAATCTGTTCCAGGCAAACGCAGGGGCGTCTGCTCTCCTCGACGACTGGACTACACGTCCCAACATGCGCCCCATACAATAGGAGGCGGGCACCATAAATCCTGCCAGCCAATGGTTTTGTGTCGGGACGTGTGGTTGGTGAGCTGCACGGCAGCTGTTGTCAATGGCAACAGAGGTTTGCAGAGAGGCACAAGCTGGACAGCTGGTAGTGGGTCCGCTCAGTCCTCTGTCAGGAGATCACATGGTCTACAGGCAGCCAATCTCAACCCTCTGCCCTCCTCTCTGCCTGGCTCCTTCTTTCTCATTTGCTCGTCCTGGTTCCCTTCAGCCGCAGCAGGAGGGGGGAGGGGAGATGACGGAGAGGAGGGAAGCGGCAACAGCGAGGGAGGGAAGAGTCTGGCTTACAGAGGGAACGGGCGAACGAGCTTGAGGACGAAAACAGAGAGCGGGAGTGTCTTCCCTCTCAGCCTGGTTATCAGGAAGGCAGGTGAGGTTTCTCCTTCAGCTGCCACCTGGACCAACAGGAGAGGAAGAGAAGATTTAGAGGAGGGCAAGAAATGCATGTTACATTGGATGCGTCAGGCTGTCACCCTCAGAAACACAAGGAGGGACAGAAGCATGCCTCAGTGGAGAGGTGCAGCAGCGGCTGCTGACTGCCAGGCTGCTTCGCCTCGGTGAGGGCAGCGCCGCTGGATCTCTGTCAGGAATACCAAACAAGGACACAAAAATAAAGAAGAGAGACAGCCGGCAATCTTATGCCATGACCGAGACCAGGAGGAGGGGGGAGGCCCGCTGAAATCATGGACCAGGTGAGGAAGGTTGGGGAGGGAACTGGAGAAGTAAAGGGGAACGCCACCTTTTCTGTGCTTTACAAAGCCACACCTCGTTGACGGGAAACGTACAGAGCTGCAGCAGCTCCATTCATAACATCCATCATCCCTTTTTTATTCCCTCCAGGCTAAAGCAAACAGCACAGCATCATCCTGCAGGTTTTTACACAACAGGAAGGAGTAGAGTAGAAAAAGTGATGCTACTGGGAAGCACCAGGCATCTGAAGGGGCGACAGCTCAGAACATCACCAGTTTATCTCTGTTACCTGCTGTTAGATCAGCACTTTGAAACATGCTAGAAAAGCATAAATCTGGGGTGTGGCTCTCACGAAGCAGCTGTCACCCTCAGGAGGTGGGAGATGCTGTGCAACAGTTCTGTTCATTCACAAACTGTTTACTGAGCGTGACATATCGTATCACGTCTCTTGCAGAGTTTTATCTCTTGTTTACTTAAAGAAGTGCAACCGTGAGGGATGCTGTCACTTGAACTTCATATCCCACTCTCTACTCAGTGTTTGGTAGTTAATTTAAAAACATGTTTTCTGTTTGTCAAAGCCCTGCGTGCAGGCTGACTTTGACTCAATCCAGTCTGGAGAAAAACGCCTGCTTGGGGTGTAAATATAAATGTCTTGGAGGACAAGTGAGTCTCCTCGGCGTGCGTCCTGCTCATCGATTACCTCATCCCCCCCCTCGCTCACCCTCCCTCTTGTCTGCTGTGTTGCTGTGTGTCCGCTCAGCTCGTGAGGTGGAAGTGGTGTGAGCATCAGGTTTGTGATGAACAGAACGAGGGGGGTTTATGGGTGACCCAGCCCAACTCTTCATCAGGATGAATTATGGATGTGGTCCACGTTAGGGGACCTCGCCTTTACTTGTCTGCCTCATCAGGTCTGAGTAAGACCGTCACTACAGAAATTACGTCATCATCCTCCCCCAACTCACAAAGACAAGTTTACTTTTTGTTTCACATTATTTTACTTTTAAATTCACTTAAACGTGTGGCTCTGTGAGTTTAAATATACTGAATAGGTTTGTTTCCCAAGCCCTGTGCAAAATATTAACCCACTCCTAATTTATTTATAGTTTGCCTCCCAACAGCTAGACTTTCTTTTAATTTTTTTAAGTGGATGATGATGAGTCATTTTTTATACTTTCTGAAACCTTTTAACATTTTTCTTTGGACTTTGGCTGCTTTTTCACTTATTTTCTGTCCAATTCTTATACACTAAACAAAAATATAAATGCAACACTTGTTTGCGTTCTCATTTTTCACGAGCTGATCTTAAAAATCCAAGACTTTTTTATGTACACAATAGACCTTTTTCTGTCTGGGGCACGTGGTCTGCGGTTGTGAGGCCGGTTGGATGTACTGACAAATTCTCTGAACATGGACATTTTTGTAGTCAACATGCCAAGTGCACGCTCTCTTAAACCTTTTGACACCTGTGGCATCGTGCTGTGACAAAACTGCACATTTGAGTGGCCTTTTGTTGTGGTCAGCCTGAGGCACACCTGTGCAATAATCATGCTGTCTAATCAGCATCTTCATATGCCACACCTGAGATGGATGGATTATCTCGACAAAGGAGAAGTGCTCACTAACAGATTTACACAAATTTGTGAACAATATTTGAGAGAAGAATTCCTTTTGTGTACATAAAGTCCTAGATCTTTGAGTTCAGCTCATGAAAAATAGGAGCAAAAACAAAAGTGCTGTATTTATATTTTTGTTCTGTATATATGCCAGTGATCGCCTATTGCACACTGTACTTGAAAACAATAACATGTGGAGAACAAAAAAAAAAAAAAAAAGTCAGGCTAAAAAAACTACCCACAGCAGATAAACTTTGAAAGTCGTGTCTTTAAAGTAACAGAGAACATCCACCTTTCTTCGGCTGATCAGCTGTAAGTCCAATCTTCAGCTTTTTCCAAATCACCTTGTTGGTGTTAAAGCACTGTTTTCTTTACATCCTTGTTCCTGTTCAGGGTCACACAGAGAACTGGTGGCTAACTCCACCAGTCATTGGATGAGAGGCGAGGGACACCCTGAACTGGTTACCAGTCCATCACAGAGACACATGGATGCAAATGAGACAAGTCACACAAAATGACAATTTAGAAATGCCAACTAATCTAATATTTATGGTTTTGGTCTGTGGGAGGAAATCTGAGTACCTGCGACATGCAAACTCCACACAGAAGAACCCTTGCTGGGAGTCAAACCTGCAACCATTTTGATGCGCGGCAATTGTACTAACCACTTTTCATGTGCAACCCTAAAACAAAATGTGTTTTGTGACAATAACGAAGTCCCTAAAGGTTAAATTGGAAACTCTGTTTTTGCCAAGCTGTTTGCTATGCGGGGACACATTTCTGGTTCATCCCTTGAGTTAAGGAGTCTTTTCATGAGTCAGAGTAACCGATTTACCAAACAAACAAAAGGAAAACATTTTTTAGAAAAGGGTCAGGCACTGGAATAGAACTCATCAAAGTTAAATATGTTTTAATATTGCTCAAGACCGCTTTTGAACAATGTAGCATAAACACAAATAGTTTAAGATCAAGAAAACCTAGGATGTGATCATAAATGTCTCAGTTGAGCTCACACGAAGACAAACCCATTTAAAATGCGGGGCTGTGAATTGCTGACACGGCACGGCCTTGGCGCAGTGCGAAGGCTGGGCTGGTGTCATTTTAATGGATGGAGCGTTTTGCTGTGACATGATATGATTATGGCGCTTCCTGTTCATCACGTGGCTGTGTATTATTGTCATCGGAACAGCACGGCCGTGAGTCGTTATCTCCTTTTTTGCGTTTCCTGCTTCAGGCCCCATACAACACGAGTCTGAGAAACATTCAGGGATCTGCTGTCAGACGGAGGCCCGAACGTGCACAAATAACTGGGCGAATGTAAACACAGGCATGCAGTGTTTACTACAGACTCCGAAAGCTTAAAGTTAAGTGTCCTGCAGGATCTGGGTTTCTTCTTCTGTGTCATAGCTGTCGGAAAGAGGACAGTAACACTCACAGTCCTACTCAGTGATAGGAGGGCAGTGGACCAACATAAGGTTTGTTGTTGCACCCAGTTTGTCTGTGATGCATTGTTTTCTGTATCAGTGAAGTGTAACACGCCGTGAAAGTCATTTGCACACGACGTGTCTGGTTTTACGGGTTTATAACAGTTCTCGCAGTAAAACACTTTCCTTGAAATGATTAGTGTCCGAGAAGGGTCATTAGAGCTTTGTGATCGATAGTCATTAAGGGGGCAAAAGCCGTGATGACTCCGAGGGTTGGACATGGAGATGCATGAACGCATCCATTAGACTGCAGCAAAACCCTTTCTCAGCTGTAAAAGCCCAGGGTCCTCAAATCTAAAAAAAAAGAGGGATTTTATTAATTTAGCTGCTTCAAAATTTTTATGGATGAGGTTAAACGGTGGCCCCACAGCAGAGGAAATCCCTGACATCTTGTGGGTATTGATGGAAGTACATGCATGTCTGTTGTCTTATTATAATAAATTTAAAAAGCGCCTTTCAGGACACCCAAGGACACTTTACAGCAAGAAACATATCAGATAAGATTGTGTAAAAACAAATGCAGTGCAAAGACCAACAGGAATAAGTTGAAATATAAAATACATAAAGAATATAAAATACATAAATCAAAGTTAAGAAGGATAAGCGAGTCTAAAGAAATGTGTTTTCAGAGCAGTCTTGAACAGAGAAAGAGAGGTGGTGTTTCGTAAGTCTGGCAGTAGAGAGTTCCAGAGGTGAGGGGCAGAGCAGGTGAAGGCCCTGCTCCCCATGGAGGAGAGGTGGGCAGAGGGTACATGGAGGTGCATCGAAGAGGAGGATCTGAGAGAGCGAGAGGGGATGGAGATGTTTATGAGGTCAAATTGGCAAGGAGGGGCGAGATTGTGGATAGCTTTGAAAGTGAGAAGAAGAATTTTGAAGACGATGCGCGATTTAACCGGGAGCCAGTGGAGCTGCTGCAGGACAGGAGTGATGTGGTTATAGGAGGAGGTTTGAGTGATGACACGGGCAGCTGAATTCTGGACCAATTGTAGCTTCTGAAGAGGTTTGTTGGGAAGTCCATAAAGAAGGGAGTTGCAGTAGTCAATCCGGGAAGTCACGACTGTGAACAAGGATGGCAGTGGAGCGGGGTGTGAGAGAAGGATGGAGACGTTTTAATATTTTGGATATGGAAATAGGCAGACCGAGTAATATTGTTGATGTGTGAAGTGAAGGAGAGAGTGGTGTCGAGGATGATGCCAAGACTCTTGACCTGAGGCCAGGGGGATAGCAGAGAGTTGTTAAGGGGGATGAGAAGATGTTCTGACTTTGAAATAGAGTTTTTGGTACAGATATGGTTGATTTCTGTTTTGTCACTGTTTAGTTGAAGGAAATTGTTAGAAAACCAGTGATTGAGTTCATCGGCACAGTCGGTGAGGATGGACGGTGGGTGAGTGAAGTTTGGTTTGGTTGACAAGTAGAGCTGTGTGTCATCAGCATTACGGTGGAAATGGACACCAAATTTGTGGAAGATGTGACCTAGAGGAAGGAGGTACTGTAAATGACGAAGAGGAGGGGTCCGAGGACACGGTCTTGGGGCACACCCATGGAGACAGAGGAAGACTGAGAACAGAAGGATTTAAGCTGAATGAATTGAGTGCGGTCAGAGATGAGATTTGAACCAGTCTAACGGAGTACCTGAGATGCCAGTGGAGGTTAGTCTGTCGAGGAGGATAGAATGACAGATCGTGTCGAAGGCAGAACTTAGGTCAAGTAGATTGAGGATGGACAGAAGAGCAGAGTCGGCAACACGAAGAAGGTCATTAGTAATTTTTATTAGAGCTGTTACGGTGCTATGGTGGGGATGAAAACCAGATTGAAACTCTTCATAAATGTTAATGACAAAGTTCCCTGCAGGCTTTTTTATGTAGAAGTGCTACTGTATGTATTGTCATCATTGTATGTTCCCAA